TAATCTTGAACCGAGCATTCATGTCAGTCATAATTTCATGTCCCCGATATACCCTGCCATTCAAAAACATTAACTCAGCCAGAAAACCACCCAACACCTTTTTGTTTGCCTGTCTATGGTGAGGAAAAACTTGGGTTCTTGAACATGTATGTTTATCAATAAAAGTCCTAACTTGAAACATTTCGCAATCTTTTATCCTCTTTGCAATCATACGCCACGTACAGTTTTTGTCAATCATACACCTTGTTTCGAAACGATCTTTGCTTGATTTGTTAACTTTTAGTTGATAGCTATCTTCCACATATTTCGTATACAAAGCTATCTTCAAGTCTTCCTTTGTATCAAAACAATCATCTTTCTTGATACGAATAATTTTTGTGTAACAATCAACTGCTATCTTTACTAATTCTTCTTCCGGTATCTGAAGTAATTCTGGCATATTCCAGTTATACTCATGTGGCATTTTCTTCGGGGACTTTTCTTTGGGGATTTCTTCTTCTTCCTTTTCTTCTTCAGTGTTATATGAATTACAGAATGGATGTTCAACATGTTCATTTACAGTCGTAACTTCCTCCTCATTATCATCAACAACATCTTCCTCGGCAACGGCTGTTTCATCATCAAAATTCGGGTATTGACCAATATCAAAATCATTACACGCAAGGTCTGTTTCTTCTTCTGAAAAATCATCAAAATCCGAGTATTGACCAAGATCAAAGTCCGGGTATTGACCAAGATCAAATTTCAAATAGTGACTAGTACTCACAATTTTTTCTGTTGGCTCATCATCGTCTAACTAGTCAATACGAAAACCGGAATTTGGTGCTGAAAGTTGATTGGGATTTGGATTAGGGAAAGGTTGTGGGTTTTGAGATTGCGTTTGGTATTGGAAATGTGGTGAAACAATATTTGCTTGGTGATGAAATTGTGGTGGAACCATTAAATTTTGAGCACCATAAACTGGGGTTGAAAAACTTAGTTGATTATTACTCACTACTGACCCAACTTCACTACTTCTAGGTTCAACAACATACAATGTAACATCATCACTTGAAACACTAATGTAAGCACTGAATCGTTCAACATCTTCAGTGTCGGTTAACAAATAAACTTTACAATTTCTCTGATAAGATAGCCTAAATCCACTTAGAGGCTCTAAATTCAATTTATTTGCAACACGTAACATTAGAGTTTCATAAGTTAACTTTTTTAATAACAGTTTTAGTTGAAGACTCATGGGTAAAGGCATATATTGTAAAACACCATGAACATTCTCCCATGACCCTCCAAAACACAAATCTATCAAAACATGATCAACATTAGATGATTTCATATTGTAAATTAATTTACTAAACAAACGAGCTGCGAAACTAAAACCTGTTACCAGATGTGGAAGGATGTCGTTAGATATAGGAACGGATATCACCGGAGAGAGTGATAGATGGAGATGGAATGAGTTACGATTTAGGGATTTAGGTTATGAGTTGATGCTGCTGCGTAGTTATATACCCAAAATATTTGTGTTGCGAAACTAAAACCTGTTGCGAATTCAGAAATCGAGTTGCGAATTTGAAATTCAGTATTGCGATAGTCAGAATCTCGTTGCGATTTACAGATTCGCATTGCGATTTACGTATTCGCATTGCGATTTACGTAATTGCATTGCGATTTTCCAAATTCGTGTTGCGATTTACGTATTCGCATTGTGAATTAGGAAAATCGCAACGCGAATTTGGGAAATCGCAATGCGATAGTCAGAATCGCGTCGCGTTGCGAATTATCGATCGCATTGCGATTTAGTTGGTCATTTTGGCAAATCCAAAAAAAGTTGGTTAAAATCGTATATTATAAGGCATTTTTGGTCACTAAGGTTATTTTCTCTAATACAAATGCTCTCAATGTTTGCACAAATAACCGTTTTATTACTTTTTTGGAGTATTTTACCATAATCTTTCAATTTTTAGTCAAAATATATCAGGTTGAATGAAAACCATTATTTAACCTACGATCATTCCATGTTATTAACTTACATTTTCACACATATTTAATTGATAATGTGACATGTCACATTACTAAAGTGATGACGTGATATGTGTCACACCAATAAATGAAAATATGTGAAAATATCACGTCAGTAGTATATGTTAACTGTAAATCAACTAATATTTTTTACTTAACATAATTAATTTTACCAAAAAATTAAAATGCTAGAATTAAAAGATAAAATATTCAAAAGATAACATATAAAATGATTATTATTTGTGACTAAATTAAAGTGATTATAAAATAAAATATATTCTAAATACTTTTGATTATTTAACAATAAATGCTCAACCACTTATATCACTAACATAATATGATTCATATATATACAAAATAATCATTCATACAAACATTAAAAAATAATATTATCATTATGCCTATATTTCGTTCAAAAATTTATTTGATTATCACCTAACATAAAAAAAAAACATAAAACTTATAAATGTCACCCTCTTCGCTTGCATGTGAACCACGTGTAAAAAAAAATCATCTAAATATTATAATATTAAATGTCAGACGTCATTTTCTTAAATTTTACTAATATGATATCTTTGATGATAAGACGCGTTACGTAAAACGCGCCTTTATTTAGATGGACCAAAGACACGTGTCTTGAAATGTGCCTTCCAGGAGAAATGTTGACATAGTACTACGTGGGAATGCACGTTTCAAAGGCATGCCTTCCAAGGTTTTCTAGTTACATCAGATTTCATAAAAACATTTAAAAATATATATTTTAAAAAATTGAAAAATAATACTATAGGAACTAACATCATAATTTAATACATATTAGTTTCATGAGTTGAATAGCTTAATGGGATTAGTTTATATAGACATATTAGAGTGTTTATGTTATGTTTTTTAACAATGTAGGATAAAAGCTAAAAGGTGTATTCTTTAACTTTTATATTTCTATATCTAATGAATCTAATTATACATTATTGTTAAATTACATTAGGTTAATATTTATTATTAAAGTTTATGTTAAGTAATATTAGATATTTTTATAGGTATTAGATACTGTAGAGATATTTTTTTATAGGTATTAGATACTGTTGTCAAACCATCTAATTTAGAAATATCAATTTTATTTCTAAAATTACAAACAAGTTAGATCACACTTACATAATTTATTATCAATGAGTAAAACGATTCAATATATTGTTAATTACTTGTACATCATCTGTCGTGAGGTAATTGAAGAAGAACTCGAGGGTTTGTCATGCAAGTGTGACTTCTTTGAAATAAGTAAAATAAGTCTTAGGGTAACATGAAATCAATAATTTGTCGTATCCATTCAAAATCAAAGTGAAAGTTACATACAAACAAAACTTTGAATATAAGCATCTACTTGTTGTTCTGAAAAGATTATGAAATGTTTTTTAATTGATATATATATCAGTTTCAAAAGTTAATTTAATATTTGATACTTTTTTATTATGTTTCTTGACAAATTTCTATATAAATCTCACATTTTACATGTTCATGGCACCAAGCAATATTTGTTTTCTATATTTTTATATTAGATTCAACTTAAATTATAGATCTAATTAATCATATTTAATAAATAATACATTTATATGCCAATAAAATATTTTTAATTTGTGTTACATAAATTTTTTTGAACTCATAATTAAAAAAATAAGTATTTAAATATACTATCATAGAAAGATATCTAATCTTAATTAATAAATATTAATAATAAATATTAACCTACTGTAATTTAATAATAGTGTATAAGTAAATTCATTCGATATAGTGATAAAAAAGTTAAGGAATACACATTTTTGCTTTTATCTCATATTGTTAAGAAATATAATATAAACACTCAAATATGCCTATATAAACTAACCCCATTAAGCTCTTCAACTTATGTAACTAATATGTATTAAATTATGATATTAGTCCATATAGTTTTAGTTTTTAATTTTTAAAGCATATTTTTAAATGCTTTTAGGGGGCGTTTGGATGGGGGTGAGATTCCCATGAGAATGGAATCCACATTCTCCTGTTTGGTTAGCCGGGAATCTCATTCTTCGTAATGTAAGATTACCAATAGTTGATTTTTTGGGTTATATTACCGGGAATGTCATTACCTCCATTTCCTTAGGTATTGTTAGATTACCGGCGTTTTGGACTAAAATGTCCTTAAATTGTTTTTCTTCAAAAATATCATTCTTCTGTCATTGAATAATAAAAATTCTACGAATGTTAAATTACAAATTTATCCTTAAACTATTTTAGATTTATAAAAAAATCTATAATTAAAATTTTATATGAAGTTTAGGGGTTAAAATAAAATTTTATCCTTTCATTAAACATTTTTATATTTTCAATTTTGTTAAAAAATTATATAAATTTTATGAATTTAATTTTTTTATTCATTTAACCAAACGTATAATAAGGATAATTTGATCAAATATACATTTCAATAATCTTTTATTCCTTTAACCAAACACTATAATCTTATATTCCTGCTAAACCAACCAAACACAAAATACAACATTCCTAGTAATTATATTCTCTGGTAATCTTACATTACCACTGATAATTTTACATTCCGTAAATCAAATACACCTTAAAGAATATGATGTGATAAGAAAACATTTGAAGAAAACCCTTAAAATTCGTCTTCCCACGTGGTGTCATATTAATATTTCCTACGTATTTCAAGAGATTATCCTTCAACCCACCTAAACATAAATGTGTTTCACATAATATTCTTTATCAGAAAAGATGTTAAATCAGCATAATTTGAAAAGAAAAAGATATTTGACAGATAATATTACGATTTTTGACGCTCAATTATTCATAAAAAGGCAGGTAATTTCATTCCTTTAAATTAATTCTTAACATATTCTGTATATTAAAAATCATTTCTTTGATTCATTTGGCGCCGTCGACTTAGGATTTTTCATTAAAAAATGATTTCTCTAAAACAAAAAATCCCACTCTGTTCTCGCTCTAAAATCTCACACTCTCCTCTTCCTCTCGCTCACCACTCTTTTTCCACTCAACAGAGAAGAAAAAACTGGAAATCATGCTGTCCCCAACACCATTGTCGCTGTTATGTGCTCTGATCCTTTGCATGCCTTTAGCCGTTATTGTCACAATCACTTCTCCGACGACCAGCACGACAACCACCGTCCATGACGGTCCCGAAACCAATCCTGTCCCGGATTTTGTCCCGGCAACCAAAACCCACCAAAGATTATCCTTTAAACCGCCGCCGTTACCGCCAGAAGATGACAAGTCACTCTTTCGGGTCGCTTCCCGAGTCAACTCAAGAACGCATCCTGGCTCCCCTAAAAAGATTGCGTTTTTATTCCTCACCGTATCACCTCTCCCTTTCGCTCCCCTTTGGGAGCTTTATTTTAATCAAATCCCTAAAAGCCTCTTCAATGTTTACGTCCATGCCGACCCGACTCACCCTTACGAAACGCCGTTTTCGGGATTGTTCGCTCACCGTGTCATCCATTCGAAACCCGCCCTCCGTTTCACCCCTACTCTCATATCCGCGGTGCGGCGGTTATTGGCTCGCGCGCTACTACACGATCGTTCGAATTACATGTTTGTACTTATATCCGCGTCGTGTATCCCTATCCACTCGTTTAACTTCACTTACCATACCCTAATCGGGTCCAAGAAGAGCTTCATCGAGATCCTGGACAACGAGATCGGGACCTTCGATAGGTGGGCGGCGCGTGGGGCGGACCTGATGTTGCCGGAGGTGAAGCTCGACGATTTCAGGATCGGGTCCCAGTTTTGGTCCCTGACGCGTAAGCACGCGAGGCTCATCGTTGGCGACGAGATCATTTGGGCCAAGTTCAACCTGCCGTGTGTGGTGTGGGACAATTGTTACCCGGAGGAAAATTACTTCCCAAGCCTCGTCCACATGCGCGATCCAAGCGGCGTTGTGCCGGCTACTTTGACGCACGTGGACTGGAACGGGAGCTCCGATGGCCACCCGCGAATGTACGTGGCGTCGGAGGTGGGGGCCGAGTTGATCACGAAGTTAAGATTGGATAAGCCTAGATATGGTGATGATGGAACCAAGTGCTCAGATTCGTCCGTGATATGTCGGCGTGATCCGTTTTTATTCGCCCGGAAGTTGGCTTCGGATTCGATCCAGCGGTTGATGAGTATCGCGAGTGAGGTAATTTTCTCGGATTAAAGTATATTTTCTCTCCCTGTGTGAATGGCTTGTAGTACATTTCCTTTGTTCTTTTTACAGCTCTTTTAATTTATCAAGGAAAAAAACAAAGCTGGGTAAAAAGAAACCCAGTGCGATTGTTGGCGACCTCTTAATATTCGCGCCATTGTGGGTTTGACAATGACTGAAACATGAACAAGCTTGTCAAGGAGATTTGTAGCATGGACAACTATATCATGAAAACAAAAATTACAAGCTTGTCAAGTAATAAGTTAAATTTATACGATATATGTGTGTGTTTATTTGGTGATAGATGAGCAGTGAGCATCCAATAAGCTGGTGAATTGGGTTTCAACGAGGCAAACATGAGCATATGCTTGCGACATATGGTGGGACCCTCTTCAAGGCTTAATACCTCGAGAATTACCTCAAGTCACTTTACGCCACGTTGAATGACGATCTCTGCAAAAATAATCTACAAGAGCTATATTTCAAATGGAGAGCATTTACACGGTAGCGAAAGAGACTTGGTTCACAATACCTATTTGTGCAGCAGCTATGGATAAAACCCTGATCGATCACGGATTATAAAACGCAACGAAAAACAACTCCAGAACTTTACAAAATATATTCAATGAGCCAATCCTTAAACCACATAAATTATGACAATTTGGTAAAAGATCGAGAGGAATGGAGAAGACAACGCCAAAGAGCCACAATGTAGAGTTTTTCATACCTTGATCGTTGAATAATTCGGTCGTAGACGTCCTTATTTAGGCAAAATGCAGTCGAGCTTTGCATATGAACATCGCTCAAAAATCAAAAGCCATGGCCATGAAAGCCTTTAATACTCCAGTGCAATAGGCTCCTGTACAATGTCTGTCGGTTCTCGGTCAATGTCGAGCTTACTTTCATCTGAATCAGTTGTAGGAACTGCCTCCTGCGGTTGGATTGGAGATAATGTGAGATTCTTCTTACTTGATGCTTTAGATGAGGCTATCTTCCCTTCAGTGGTTGCATTCGACGCAGTTGCCATTTCCTCATTGGGTGCCTTAGATGCTTTTCATCATTTTGCACTGGATAAACTAGTCTTCTGAGAAGGCAATTTGGGAAGGGATTTACGCGGTGGCTTCTTTGCATGGACGGGAGAAATTACTTTGGCAGATATGCTTTCTCGTCTAGACTTAGCCAACCTGATTGGCGACTGCTAGTTTTGGTATCATCGGAGTCCAAAGGAACTGAGTTTTTTTCCGACCAAGCTTTGGAGATTTAGGTCTTGTTGTTGGTATCTGCATCCAGGCAATTGGAATGCATCAATTTTATGCTCTCAGGTTCACTTGGAGGGGCCTTCACTAAGTATCCAACACCAATTCAATTGTTTATCGGTTCGAGTTGTAACAAGTTAAATGTATCACCGACAGCTAAAAACAGTTAACTGAGGTATGACTTCCAACTCGAGCATTTTGCAGAAAAGAAATGGCTCTTGGAGGGAAATGAGTAGAGACACTTGCAAATGCCTAAATAACGAAGGCTTAAAAAGTAGATAGGTGGCAATCCTAATGATAAAAGCTTAAAAGGTAACCTATATGTATTGTTTGGCATTTCACTCCTGTCATCCTCCCACACCCAAAAGAGTGAACAAATAAATAATATTAATAAGCATGTCGTTTGCATTTCTAGCTTTTTATGCATCAAAACATTCGACAAACCTTCTTTAATTCCACCTTAGCAGGTGAAGGTTCCTGATAAAAGCTTGGCATTGGAGTTGCTTTAAAGTTCAAAGCCTTCCTAAACATCTTAGTCTCAGCTTCTTGAGTTTCCTATCAGAAATTCAGTAAGTTGTTATGATATGAGAGAAACTATTTGGGTCTTAAGTCATCATATTCACAAAATAACACCTTGGACTTTGCTTGCAAGTTGCTCTTTTCTACTTCCCTTGCATGATTTTTTTCCTCGAGTGTAGAACTGCACAACAGAATGGAGAAGATTTAGAAAAACTAGAGAGCTGCCAAAATAGACGATGTAAAATCTCAAGAATATTAAATAAAGAATCAACCTCTTTCCTTTTCTCAGCCCGTGCATCACACTTGAAACTGAAACCATAATTTGGAAGAGTGCCAACCCTACGAGTTATGGCATCAGCTGCAAACAAACTGTAAAGGATATGGGGACTCTGTGTCTCCTTCGGCTTTATGATTAGACCCTTTCTTCAGAGGCTTCAGCTTGGGTTTATCCCTATAATACACAATAGAACAGTTGAGAAATGGACGGGGAAATTATTCTTCATCACCTAGAACATATTTCAGGGGCCGTAAATTAGTTAATAAAATCAATGACATGGGCGGAAGGCTGCATGAAAAACAGAAGAACTTCAAACATAAGCATAACGTACATAGTGCCTTCAGAGAAGGGTGCACCAGGTTTCCCAGAATGCTGTCAGAAGCAGAGAGAAGGAAGGAAATGAACAGAAAGGCAGTAACAGTAAATAAAAAAGAAAAGTGCTGAAAAAGAAATCAGTCGTACTATCAGCTCCAACCTTGGATGTGTTCCCTTGTTTTTCATTAACTGATCTACTTTGAAGAGGTTGTTTTGGACGTGAATTGGTAGCAAGAGAACCACCATTCGAAGCTGTCGAAGTCGCCTTTTAACTCTTTCCATCTTTACTTTTCTTCACTAAAGCTGAAGAAACATTTTTGGGACCAGAGGGCTTCTCATTCTTGGTATTGCCTGGAACCTTCTGTGGCTTGGTTTACCCCACATTATCTTTAACTTCCCCTTCCTATGAAGACAGACACACTCATAAAACATGAAATTCAGACTAATGGTAATTAATAAGAGGATTTACATTTGATAACTAAATGTACATTGTCAGTGAATCAAATGATGGCAAAACATAAAAAAATTAAAAATATATCCACTTAAACCTCATTTTTAATGAAGTACTGTCATCCAGTTCTGTTCATTGATAGTTTATACATTGTTACTGCCTCAAATATAAACCCTTAATAAAAGCACCCAAACAGAATGTAAGACATACTACCTTCGAATCAATCAATCAATCCGTATCTATCCATAAAGTCATTCACTTCTTCTCTTCCCCAGCTTTTCCATTATCATCCAGTTCATTCTGCAATTAATCTCGGAGATTTTCTCAACATTCCCATTCGCATTATCTGAAATACCACTGTCGTCCTCAGACACCCGAAGTTGCCTATCAACACCCTTTTGAAGAGCAACCTCGTCAATCGCATTAACAGACAAGATATCTTCCGAATCCATCACACACTGAATAAAACAAACAAGTATAAGGCCAAATACAAAATAATGAAAATCAATTTAACACTTCCACTGATTTAAATTTTCTCAAACCTTCACAGCAACTACAAACTATATTTAGTAATTTTCGATTATATCCGTCTATCCACGTTCATCTCTTTCAAGTTACAACCTCAAAAGGATATAAATAACAGGTCAATTTGCAGAAAAATAATAATCGCATCTAGCATCTATGATATTCATTTTGCCGTAAATTTGTTCAGGAAAAAACGAACTAGCAACACTAAATTAGATCTTATAGTAGCGTACGCGTACCAAAAATAAACAGAAAATCTAAATGAAAACGTCAGGAGTAGCTTAACTAAAAAAGCGCAATCAAATCAGCCAAAAAAAAAAACGAGTGAAAACAGATGATTTAAGAAGTGCAAATCTCCAATGAGAACAGAGATCTTCATCAACACTAAACAATTAGCGCATTTCCTTTCATAATGATCTACTCTTACCGAAACTCAAACATGAAATCCTCAGTCTTTCTCAGCAACCAAACAAACAGCTATTTAAGGAAGAAAAAAACAGTTTCACTTATTTGCTTCCTTACCTCGTGAAGCGTGCGACAAATCAAAACTTCATGAAGCCGAGAAGAAGAAAAATTAGAGAGATTAATGAAGGAAATCGAAAGGATCTGAGAAGGAAGAAGACAGCGAAGATTAAAGACTAGGCAGGAAAAACAAATAAAAATGGGAAATAAATGGGAAAATGACATTTTTTTATTGTTTGTTTGGCTGGAATCTAATTTGTGAAGGGTGAAATGAAAGGTGATTTATAGTAGCGGCTTTCAAATCTATTTCCATGTCACTTTCTTTCAACAGAAAATGATTGCTGTCTGTCCCCTACCAATATATAGTTTTCTTCCACCATGCAGTATCCGTTAAAGAGGTTAAATTTTTTTCACTAACCGCTTAACGGTAAAAAAAATTATTGATATTGTTTAAAATATTGAATTCGAGTATTATGAAGGTTAGGAGTGTAAACGTTCAATGTCAAATCGTTGAGAGTTATCTTTGAAAAAAATTAAAAGATGGATTATAATAGAAAATTATATTAATCTAGATCGATTCGGGACATATATATATAATACGTAAATATTCCATGAAAAGCAAGCATAAAACATGTCACTTAGTTTGGGTTGTGGGCTTCAAAAGTTATCCATTGGTTTTAAAGCCTATTAATTGGGCGTATTCAATAATGGGTTCGATGTATGGGTTAAAGTACCTGTTAGGTCCCCTATTATAAATATTGTATTAATTTAATCATATCAAAATGACCAATTTAGTCCTTCTGTTATAGAGACTTATTTAAACTAACCATATACAATTGGATCTTCTAAAATCAGAAGATGGAGCATTGATTTGATAGGGACCGGTATGGTAAGCCATCTCTTCAGTAAACCTAACACAGAGTTCCACCAGCATAGCTTGTCATGTAAATGATGTTAGAAGAAACACCAGAGCCGAACAGTGTTACAGAACTCGGCTCCTTTAAGAACTATGCAAAGAAAACAGCATTTTTGTTGTCGGTTCGCCGCTTAACTGGCGTGAGATGTTAAAACTCGACATTTTAATGAGTTTTAAAGTACCACACAAGAAGATGATCAAACGAATATGGATATAAGAATGTCAACAGATATTTCGATATTACAAAAGCACAAAGAGACGTACACATTTGGATCATGAATGTCTCAGCAATCAGTAAGAAAATTTGAAAAGATAATATGGAAGGTAAGCAATGAAGACTCGATTGTTTATATGTTTAAGAAATCAGTAAGGAGTGTAGTAATAACCGGCCGGTGGCCCCATCCCGTTGACCGGTGGCATTCCGTAAGGCATCGGCCCAGGTCCGTAATTCGATCCGGGGTTGCTAATCTTAGCCAAACTAGTTTGGC